TTTTATCGCAGGTGATGAAGATATTGAAGATGAAGTGTTACGCCCGTGCTTTTTCACTGCTGATGCTGTGTGCAGTCAGCTGAGAGACCGATCGATAATATCGATCGGTCGTGCAACTGTTCAAGAAGCTGTTTCTTAGCAGCTGAAATATTATAAACAATCTCCATGGTAATTTTGTTTAGACGTCACTATGGATTGTTTGTAAATAAACTATGAGACGTGAGATTTTCGGATGCTGTCTGCTCGGGCGGACGTGTGCGACGGCTCCGATATTTTAATTGTATTCTCGGATACTAATTGTCGAGTTCTGTGTTATATATTAAAGTGTTCTTTGTTATTTGAAGTGTTGTGTTGTATTTCTTTGATTTCGCGAGTTCCGTTGACGTGTGCGTGAAATATCGTTCCGCGAGCGCAACAATATTTATTCCATTCCTGCCGATAATTACAGCAACATATTTCCAGATGAAACCGAAAATGAAGATATTCCATATTATCCAGTGCAGCCAATATGTAACATACGTACATCTGACTGCTGCAGTGTTTGCTTAGTACAAAAACAAATTATATATTTATTCCTTGTGGTCACTTATGTTGTTGTATGGATTGTATTTTAAAATTGCAATAAAAAAAAAGTCCAATTTGTAACGTAGATTATAACTCTTATTAAAGGTTATAATTCCATAAGTACATAAAGAATAAATTGAAAACATAACTTTTGGGGTTCTAATGGCTGGTAAGGTCGCGGTGGGGTATATCATGCTGAAAGATATACACCTATAAAGAGCCGTGAAATACCGCACTGCAAAACATCAAGTGAACCAGCAAGTCCGATCATCTAGCGTCCCTGTCGCAAACCCCGGGTGTGACTTCGGTCACAGCAGATAGATGAAGGACAAAAGGCGAAACCCTGGCGCCTAAAAACGAGGGCCATTCAGCTAAGGGAAGGAACCCTAACAGAAAACCAAAACCTGAAGCAATGGATAAAACGAATCTTGGATGTATTATTCCAGGTGGCAGACCAGCCAATAAGCTGGAAAATCCACCCTCTAAGGAAGTCGGCCCTACGGATTCTAAGAAGGGCCAACTATTGCTTAAGAAGGACTCAAATGAAATAAATATAGACTCTCAGATTGAACATCAAAGCCTCAACACTGACATAAAAACTGCAGAGTATGTTCCGCAATTATTTTCTTTTATCGCAGGTGATGAAAATACTTATTCGATTCCTGCCGATGATTACAACATTCCTGATGAAACCGAGGATATTCCACATTATTAAAAGGAGAATTAATAGAGCGCTAACAAAAATTGCACTTCCTTTATTCTTTGTTGACTTGGTCTCTAAACCCAGCAACAAGAATGTATACGAGATAAATCATATGCTCCGCTACAAAATAAAGGTAGAATCTCCATGCAAAAAGAGCGAGATTCCTCAGTGTAAAAGATGTCAAAGCTTTGGGCACACGCAAAATTATTGCCAAAGACAACCCAAGTGCGTGAAGTATGGCAAAAATCATCACTCCACAGAATGAAAAAAATCAAAAATAGCGCCAACTGCGGAGAGGATCATACAGCAAACTGGAAAAACTGTCCAGTTTATAAGGCTAAATTAGCTTCAAAACAAACATCGACAACAGTAATGCAGAGGATCAACCAGAGAACATGGAAACCAGCAGAAAAAGTCACCCAAAATAAATCATATGCCAAAGCAACCGACGGCAAATCTGAAAAATCTAATAACGATCAAATGCTAACACAAGCTAACGGACAACATTGTTTATATTCTTCTTATGAATGTTTTATAGGCAAGAAAAAAATTAATAGTTCTACTGAAGAAGAAGCGGAAATTGAAATTGGAACAATTAGAGGAGAAGAAATATATGTTGGTTTCGGTCATTGGGCTAAAAAAATAGCTTTTGATGAGGCTCATTTAGCAAAAAAACCAAGCATATTGTGCTTACCTTAGCATATGGAATGTGGACTACAAAACAATTAGCCGATAGAATAATACGTCCGCAAGTTGGAATTAATCGACAAACTTTAACAACTACAAAAAAAAACGCCATTTCTAATCTTTTCAATAAATGGTTGCTAAATAATGGCTGGACCGGACAAGCAACAACAACAGAAATAAAAAATATTAATTCTTATCTCGATAGAGCCATTAATCGATGTAGAAAACTTATTTATCAGAATGAAGATGTAAAAGATGTCTCCGAGGAACAAAACGAAACCTTTATTGATGAAGAGTCCGTACCAGATAATGAATAATTTTTATTTTTTATTTATGATGGCTGTGCTAATAATGCTGTGCTAATATTTATAACGATTATGCCAAAGTGCAATTTTTTTTAAATGTACATTTATTAGTACATTTCATAATAACGCAATTTTATGGCTGTTCTAATAATAACTACCAAAGTTTTTTTTGTTAATGCATATTTATTTTTGATATATGAAGACATAATAACGAGACATAATAACATAAAAGGCATATTCATTGTTTTTAAAATATTATTATACCAAAAGAAATGCGATTTTATATATATATATTTGTATGTTTATTTTATAAAAATTTCGACTGTGCCAATAATATGTTATAATTACAATTTATATTTCATAAGCGGTTTTTATATTTATTATGTATGAAGTGTAATAAATTCAATATTTGTAATTATTATATATTTTTTATAGAATTTTTAAATGTATATGTACAATGTAATGTATGCGAATATGTGTTGTAATAAGGTACATTTTTCTGTATTCTATTTAACGGAATATTTCTAAAAAAATTTACGATTTATCAGCTTCCATATTTTGCCCTGCCTTTGAGTACATTTCATTTAACAGTACAAATTAACGCAAGTATATATTTCTATTCTATCTTTTTCATTAGATGTCAAACACAGAATAAAACATGTATTAACATGTATGTTAACATGACATTCTATGTTCGATATCTACTAGAAAATAAATATAGAATAACTCGTTTTTACATTGCTAAATGAAATGCATTCAAAGATAAGGTAGAAAAATAAAAGCTGATAAATCGTATATTTTTCAACTTGTAAAAATATTTGATATTTCTAAATATTTCTAAAGGCCTGTGTCCACAATGCAAGAAATTGGTCCAAGTTCTTGGTCCGAGAAATGTATAGCCAATTAAATTGAAGTTCTTATGGAAAAACAGCAAGTTGATTGGTTACACATTTCTTGAAGCAAATCAATCATTTTGGGCCAAGAACTCGAACCAATTTCTTGCATCGTGGACACGGGCTTTAATATATACAGATCTGGAAAATATGAGAAATAATGAATTTATTCATATATTTTCATTTCTTTTCTGAACTTTTCTGAAAAGTGTGCCAATTCATATAAAAAATCTTAACATTTTCTGAAAAAGTTATAAAATTTTTGTAAAAAATCTGAAAATTTTTATGAAAAATTCTGAGAATATTTTTCACCAGGGTTATTAGAAGAAGATAGATCTTCCTGGACTATAGTCAAAAATAAGAATAGATAATGACAGATACATCATTCCATATTATCATATGAAATGCGAATGGCTTGGTGCCACGCATAAGAGAATTGGAAACGTTTCTAAATCATACAAATGTGGATATCACGCTAATCTCCGAAACGCATTTCACTTGTAAAAATTATCTAAGGATATTAGAATGTACAACGTATTTTACCACTCACCACTCACCCTAGTGGTAGAGCAAGATTTATAGCTGTTTTTAGCTCCCCCCTTACTTCATCGTCCCTCGCCCTCAACCGGTTTTACTGAGGTAACTTTCTCTCTATAGATCTTGGTGGTAGAGCACATGCAGATACGGCCATCATTATTAGAAATAACATCAAGCATTTCCCGTATGGAAAGATTAGAAAAAAGTATACTCGCGTACATGTTCTTAGATGGGGCATTTTCTTTAAGTATTTTTTTTAATATAATTTGCAACCTTTCCACATACATATAATGTATATGTATGTGGAAAGGTATGTATATGTATATGTACATGTATGTATATATACATTATATCCCATCCTTATACATTATATGTATATAATAAATTATACATATATAAAAAAATGACCATTTTGCCATTAGGAAAAGTTGTTGTGCTAGCCTAGCACAACTCAGCACAAACATTGGAATTGTCCAAATAATAAATTTCAAAAATGGCTGTATAAACAATTATCCACCGATTCTGCAAAAAACTATTTAGACCACTTTGTCATTAGAAAAAGTTGTGCTAGGTCAGTAAAACTTTTCCCAATGAGAATAATTGATAAAATCAATTTTTCAATTGTACTGGACCCAATTTGCTTGTGCATAAAAAAACTTCTCCGTTTTCAAAGAGAATCATAGGTTGTAGTTTGTTTACGGCACAAACCGGCACAAACATAACACAATTCGGCACAATTAAGGCTCCTGGGTAGTCACCGCAGCCATATTAGATTCGTGACGTCAGAAGCGAGAAATGATACGCCGAGAATTCTTGCGTGCCATTTCTAAATAAAATAATAATTTAACAAAGTAACACTCTAGATCGCTTTAAGACACCTGTAAAATTGTCCGAAAACTATGCTTTTTCCTTGACAGGTTATAAACAATCGTTAAATCAACCGTGAAGCAAAGCCTAATTATGCGAGAAAACACACGGTTGACAGCTGTCTGTATGAGTAGAAAATACTCCTACGTTGGGCTTTCCCTGCTAATCTTAGTTTTCGGATAATTTTACAGGTTTCATGAACACGTCACATATCACAGCACTAACATTTAACGAATATTAACGAAATGGCACGCAAGAATAAATTGGGTAGTCAACATGTCATTTTTTCACGTCTAATAGTTCATCGATTCTCCACCTAAGACGCTGCATGAGAATTTCTGTCATATGGACATGTCGGTAACGGTACTAAGCTATATATATTCTGTATTTATCACGTTTATTTTTTTGTAAACAAATTTTTGAATTATAAATTAGCATTTTGTATGTTATTCAGTAATTTACTTTTATCGTATCAATTGATTAGGTCAAACTGTTACACTATTTACTTATACAATAAATCGACTAGGTAAATTCGACTAGGTTTTTATTCCTACCACAATTATGTCGCCACTGTCAACGCGGAGTTCACGGCTACGAGACCAGGAGCCTTAAGAAAAATATAAAATTCGAAAAGTGCGGAGCTAATTTCACACGTTAAAGCTTAACAACAAACGGTCGCATTTGAGTTAAATGTGCCTTGAAAATATACCAGTGTATATCGGTTTGCAGCCGGTTGTTTGAAACTAGTGCACTTTTTATCTACCTTGCACACTTTTGTTCGGTGTCATTCGGATGCAGAAAAAGAGCGCATGAGCGCATAGTAACAGGGCATAGCAGGGTAATGCAAGCGAATGGCAGATACGATGTACTTTGCATTTCCAATGGCCAATTACGTGCTCAATCCAAAATACGCGCCGTACTCCACAGCAAACCGTATAAACTCCACACCGTGTTATAATTCTCTATCATTCGTTGCATATAAATAATGTGGAAATGCTTCCTGTAATAATAAACATAATTAACATAATATAATACTATTAAATTTAATGATATATAATCGTTCACATTTTAATTAAGAAAAATTGATTATAAATTAATTAGAGTCTAGCAAAATCAAAGTTAAACGAAAATATGAATAGTTTCTGATATGTACTTATACAACACATTAAAAGTTTAATTCGTGCAAAATCTATATTGAATTTTTCACCAGAAAAGATTAATATGCTACTTTATATTTTCTTTAAAAAAAAATTCAGTAAACATTGATAAATCTTTAGATGCGTGTGGAAAATAATCTAAAAATAGAGAGTTTGAGGTAAATTTAGTACGATGTTCCACGATGCCACACTACATTGTGGATAACTCGATTACAGCAGCGATTTCACGCATTTAACGACAATGAGTCATCAAAATGCTTCGATGGAAAAATAAAAAAACTGAAAAAGAGCTCTTAGGACATAAGGAGATCCTTGCTTTCCAATTAACAGGAAGATCGGCATAAAAGCAGGCCAGAAAGATGCTGTCAGTTCCTCGCCACGATGCGGTTATACCTTATGCGATTTACCTTGTGATATCGCTCTCCTACGCCCTCGTTGCGCTTCTGCTTGCAGGATAACGCGCGCGCGCGCGCACACCATGCTGTCGTCGCTGGCAGAAAGAAAACGTGGATTTTTCCATAAAAGCGACAGGAGGTCCTTTGAATGCGTAGATAAGCTCGCGCGCTTGTGTAAAATAAATGCCAGATTCTCCGCGCGATCCACTTTCCAATTTACGGGACTAATACCTCCTTGAAAAATTCAATATCAGGCTTTTCCAGAAAAGAAATCATAATCTGTAGTGTGTTGCAAAGTTTAAAAAAATTGAATTGCAACGCTAGATTGCCAGATCGGAGGAATCTTAAATCCGTTTTCAAAAAAAGATCTGAAAATAAAATAAAAGATGAAAAAAATAAAACCGTTTTAATCAAATAATACTTTTCTTCGGATAAAAGTATAAATCTTTTACCTGCAACGAAGACGATGATGTCATGGACATAGATGACACAGCCGATGTAACACGAAATTGATGTGTTTTATTTATATACAATATTTACAAAGGCAGTAGAGAGTGTGAATCAAATGGCTATATAAATGTCTTTGGTACGCTTGAACGCGCGCAAATATGGGCTTCTCCTCCCTGCTCCAACCTCCATCAGCTATGGTCCAGGGGCCTCCTATACCCTGTTGAATCATGGTCGATGACCCGGAAGTTAGACGATGCAGCAGACGTCTGGATCTTTCCGTCCATCCGTCTAGACCGTCGGTCGCCCACTTCTCTTAATATCCCAACCGGTGTCTGACCCTTAAATGCAGCTCTCCTGAATGCTCCTGCCGATCGACTCCGAGTGCGGCCTTTGAAGACTATAAAATGTCTGAAATAGATCGAGACAAAAATAAAATAAAAATCTTGAAGAAATAAACAGCTGAGAGCTTGATTGAGCTTTAAAAATAAAATTGTCGCTGTAAAATTCGGTGCTAAGTTAAAAATGCTGTGAGACAGTTTAAAATTTACATTATTTGTACAACAATTTGACAGCAGCATTGACCAGTTGTCGTAAAAATTTATTTAAAATTATATCAAAACTAAATAAAAAAGACTCTATGATATTATCGTCATTCAAGGATATGATGCCATATAACTGCCAGGTTAAATCGAATTGGAAGATATTTGTTTAGGGTTTAAGACTAAAATATTTGTCTCAAGAGAAAAGTATATGATATCACTTAGAAAAATGTAGGAACACACACAATAACCAGAAATCGAATCTATACGCGGAGAATTCCTCTTATTTACTAGACCAGCGTAGAATTTTTATAGTGAGCAACTTTACGATGTTATGATAGTATTAGAATAAACATATAACTTTTTGTATAATATATTATATATCTTGCTAGTATTGAGAAAAAAATAGAACTAATAAATTATCAACAAAGCGGCGAAAATCTAAATTAGAAAATGCAATTACCGAAGAAATAAACTTTGCTGTAACTATCATTGATAATAGCTGCATTTTGGATTTATCCAAAAACTGTATAAAATTTGTATAAAATTTATATTTTATTTATAACATAGAGAGAATTTTTACATGACTTGAGATGTTGAATAAAAATTGCCGCAAGAGAGAGATTTTGTGATTTAAAATATTCCAAACAGATAAAATCTTGCCACAAGCCTCGATATTCCAATTATTGTGCTCTTTCGTTATGCAAAATAAATGTATGAGGTGCGATGTGGAAGCGTTTCCGTTTGCTAAATCTGTCTCGCGAGCGACAATAAGCAGAATCGTAAAGTAGACCGGATCGAATTCGAAAGTGGTTTTCTGTGTTCGAAGCCGTTAGCGAACATGTAAGTATACGGTTCATCGTAGATAGACTGTCTTAGATCAGAGGTTTCCAAATTCCGTGGTCTCTTTTAACTTGAAAACATTCTGACATATTGTTCTTTTTCTTTCAAGAAAATTTTGCTATGAACATAAAACTGATATGCACGAAAGTATGATATGTTTTAATTACTTTGATAAAAGTTTGTTGCGTGATTTATTTCACTTTCTATTCTAAGACCAATTAATTTAGTTAGAATTATATTTAGATGTCTTTGCAAAATATTATTATATCTATCATATCATTATTAACATAAAAAAATAATTAAACAATTCTACATGGTTCGTATATAATGTTTTCACCAATCTTTTTTTTTACAATTTCTTCCTCGGGAAGTGATTCAGACCCCCGAATTTTGGGAACCAATGCCTTAGATAAAATCGGATTACTCACGTTCGGCGATGCTCTCGGATAATCTGAATCTTCTAGAACGTCGTGGGACATCTCGCGTCCTTCCAGCTGACGTGGTCTTCGTGGCAGGGACCCGTAACGAGGAAGCTTTCTGTCTGGAAGAAGTCCCAGGACGGACTTAGCGTCAATCGTATAATCGGTTTGAAGTAAGCCCGTGGATTTTCGCAAAGTATTTTGAACTTCCTCTCAGAGGCAACTTTCGCTCCCTCCTCACGGGCGGCACTCTCGATTGCTTCTTGCTGTTTTGTTTTGCAAGAGCCAAAAGTTCGCGGCTTGCACGAGAGAGTTGAAAATGCCTGGGAGGATTAGATGAATGCATTGCTTCGAATGCTGCGGTAGAATCGCGAAACCGCCCGAGAAATGTATTTATTGACGATAACAAAAAAAAAAAAAAAAAAAATGTAAAGTAGATTCTTATGTTACAAATGAATCTGATTAATGTTTCATTTAAAAGTATGTAGTGTAATTGGATTGCTTTTATTCAACTACTATTAAACTCTATGGAATTTATACTTATGGATATTATACTTATCAAGTTTTAATCTCAACAAAGTAGATTTCCAAGTAAACTTTCTTAGTAAAATATTGAATATTATAATTATCGTGTTTTAATATTAGTGAATTAAATTTGAGAATCTGAATAAGTAAAATAGATATTTATTTTGCACGATATAATCACGGGTTCAGTTTACGAATTAAGCGTGATACATTTTAACGCGAATTAAATTCATGTTAAGTAGTGATAATATTATAACAGATGCGTTACAGATTAAATTTCCCGAGCAAATGAGACCGATCTAAAATCGCCTCGAGAAACCACCACTGTCTGTTTGAGACTCCCTGTAGATACGATTCTCTTTCGCATGGATTACCGAACGCATATGTATCTCTGCGTCTATATATGCATATGCATGCACTCTCGTGCTCCGCGTGTATGCATATGCCGATACACTTAGAGCCGTCCGCATACCGTATGTGCAATTTTCTTGAGAGTGCCGTTAACGCACGCTACCCGCACTGGGGCAGAACCTGATATTCTTGAAATTCTCGTACAAATGCGATAGTTCCATCAGTCTAAGTAGAAATTCAGTAGAATGGAATGGCCGGTTATGCGCGGACGATATGCCTTCCGTCCTTTCTTAAAGGGACACTTGTAAGATTTAAACAGTAAGCCCTATCTGACTTGAGCGAATCAACGTTTTTGTAATCTGATACAGTGAATATTCTCGCAATACTTTAAGGAACGTTAAACTTAAAGAGTAAGAGAGTAATTTATTCCGATAAGTAAATAATATATTTATATAAAATCCCCAGAGATTATTTCTTAATGTTGGTTGATTCTTTTTTCAATTAAGTTACAGGTTGCAATTATGCAATTTTTCAAATCAATATATTATTTAAAAGGAAAGAAAATGACAAATTTAAAAAAAAATCTATTTATACTTTACAGGAAGTCAACAATCAACAGTTACATTGGGTAAACTTACCAGTGAGATGATTGGTCAAGGCCGTTGTGGGTATTAGATCCGGATTTCCGTCTTCCTCCTCGCCTTTCCCCGCAAAAGTTGCGATGCTAGGCTGCTGCGGCGGCTTCGGCTTTGTCGGGGTGGCTGCGTGCCTCCTCCAGAGTGCCATTAGCACACCGGTCACGATTAGTCCCAGACCAGTCGCCGTGCCACCAAGTCCAATCAGGATCGGTGACATGTCGACCGAAGTTGATTCGCCTGTGAACGAAATCTTTATTGAACCACCATCTATAAATAATGCATTTCATGAACGGCAATAGTTTTCTGGTAACGCTTGTATAATAGAGATGCGTTCCATATTATTCAGTAATGTGTTTCTGATATATTAATTATTAGAGAATTATGTTTATTCATTACGGTTAATATCACTCCTGAAATTATCATTGCCTCGTAGATATAATACATGTATTTCAGTCATTTCAATCAATTTTATGAAGATGATTAATAAGTGATAAATATTTTGCTTGAAACTAATTCCATCTTCATATTTAATTAATATTAATTATAACATTCTCATATTTGCATTTTTTATTTGCGGTTTTATCGCAGTTCTTCTCTTTGGCTTTAAAATAATTAAATTTATCTCCGTTTCATTATATTTTTTCTTTTATCATTTTCTGTGTTTATCTAGCTCTATATTTTTTACATTTATCTATCTGCCTATTTAATCTACTACTGTTTCATCCTATTGTCTATATGAATCGCTCTGTTCGCGCGTATACGTCTGCGGAAAGATTTCACGCAGTAGTTGCGGTCAGCCGCGGATCACGCGCGAGCGGGTGTTCCAATTTACCTGTCCGACATCCTCTCTCGGCAGGCTCCCGCGTCGGCGCGAGCGTAATCTGTTTCCAATTAAGGCGTGGCAACGGAGTCGATCGTTCCGAACTTCGTGGCAGCTTGCATTACGGTGGCCTAACGCTGCGGCTGATTTGTGAGTCTCTCGCTTTGCGAGAAGCGTGAGAGGCAGGAAGCTGTGCGCAGCGGATTAGGAATAGCTCCGCCCGCGTCGTTTCCGCACCGTCGTTAATCATTTGGCTTAAACCGCGCGCGTGTACGTGTATAAATGTGTGCGCCATCCAGCGTACCAAAATTACTTTCCTTTGGTTAAGGCCCTTCGACGGGGAGTGGACTTACTCAACGAAAATCTAAGTATAATTATTCCCATGACTTGATTTAAGAAAAAAAAAAAAAAAAAAAAAAAAACTAAAAATGTAATTTCGGAATGATTAGATAAGTCAAATGCTTTCCGTAATTACAGAGATATTATATTTCTATGACCTCTTACAAAGTTTTCTACATGATAAAAACAAGAAAATTTTAGAAATTTCGAATTGCAACGCAGTTCGAAAGTTTAAGTGTCCCAATTTAGCGCACTTCGCGGCGGCTATAATCTTACATTAAGATTCTGTTGAAGTCTGCTTGAAATTAACCGAAGATTGTAGATATCACACGCTCGCAGTCAGAGGATTACGCAGGAATCACCATTATTCTTTCTTAATTCAAAGCTCCTCTCTTTTAACCGTTAATAATATCACAGCCTCAGGATTGTTGAAAAGAAACAACAAACTGATTAGAAGAATTAGCAGGCGAAAGGAATGTTTTCGAAATACTCGGTATAAATTTCGAGTGTCGTAGCGAGAGCTGTAATTCGATCAGCTTGTAAACAGGTATCCATCAAAGCTGTGAGTCGCATCGGCACGGCACAAACAACTGGTCGGTTAATTTGTTTCTAATTAACAATCAAATTTCAGTTAAATACTAATTAACAAAGCACAAAGCGCGCCTATTCACCGCCGCTAGTTGCGAAACGTAATTGAATACGAAGGAAGCATTTGAGGAGATACGTTGAAGGAGGGCGACCTGTCGGACTGACAGGAGAACACGGCCCTTTTCGTCCTTAATAGTAACGAAGGCACAACGTCCTTTTGCTCCGCGTTAAAACGAGACTATGTTGCTTGCGTCTCGATTCCGTTGGAATTCGCCATTGACAGTCGACGATCCCCTCTCGACAAGTTAAAACAATGAGGGCAAGTGTATAAACACGATATCATTCCTTCCTCGATGCAAGACGTGAAGTTAAAGTACAATTAAGAGTTTTCTCAAAAACTTAATTCTGCCTCAATTTAAATTTCGTCGCAGACTCTTGTTAGTCGAAATTATTCAATTGACGTTTCTCCGATAATTCTGCTTAAAACTTTAAAGTCTCCTGTCAGTTAATTTCAAGTCTATAAATTGTGGAATTTATAATTATAATTTTGATTCACATTTTAATTGATCATCATGATATTTAACATTGAAAACAAATACGCTGCGGTTAATGACGGCCGCTGGTTAAATTTTCAAGCGGAAGTATATGTCGTTCTTGATACATTTTGCACACCGCAAAGATCGTGTGTATTTAATACCGGAGTTGTAATTGCGTCGGCTTATCTATATCTCCGCGGACGAAATGTATCGTATCGAGAATTAACGAAAGCAACGATCAATTGCGATTAGCAAAAATCGTGCTTTTCTATCGGGCGTCAAGAAAATAGAGGAGAGCAAAATGCGATGCGGACGCGGCGGAAAGCAGAATGCATAATAATGGCTCATAAATTTTGACGCTCATAAATTTTCCGCGAGGGTCGGCCGCGCATGTTTCAGCGAAACCGGCAACGAGCTCGACCAGGGTTGACCTCGCGCGCGCGTACGCGGTGAACTGTTCAACAGGGATCATTTGCATGTCGCCGCTAGTATTTCCGGTTGAGATAGCGTCACGGCCATCTAAATTGAAGGGTGAAACTTAACGCGCTTATTCGTCAAATATGCGAACAGAAATGAGCAGAATGAGCTCCGCAAATTAAGACCGCTTTATCATAATCACGAAAATTTCACAAACAGCTTGTGCTAATGCGACATTTTTGTAATTTCATATTTGATCAATTAGAGATACTGTAATATGTAATATAATTTATTTTTATATATTTTTTTCTTACTTTGTACACATTTAAAATCGTGTGCATGTATAAAGCAAATTTGTGTTAATCAACTTTCTTCTACAGCAGTCGCATTTTTTTGTGGCCTGTAGCACTCTTATTGGCAAAATTGGTAAAATAATAAAAGAAAAATTTTACGGACATTTGAAATTCCAGCGCACCATTTTATTAAACTACATTCATTCGCAATCTTTTGTGGTCAAACAAAGCAGAACTCTTTATCACTGTAATTTCTACAGCACACTTTCTATTGACCACTTCTTTTTTTTTTCACAGTACGAAGGTTTATACACAGAAATTGGTGTAGATTCTCTGTGCAATATGCTATTTTTGCCACCGTATTTTTGCGAAGGACGAATAACAAGCGAAGGGCCAGCTGGCCAATCGATAAGCTACGATTTGATGCGAACGTCAGCTCGCCGGGGGTTGAAAACGGAATAAAGGGCGCGCGCGATGAAACGAGGAAAAAAGCTTTGGCTCTAGTGCGGGTTCGGGATCGATCCCATGCACTCAGGATTATTTGCATCGCGATTAAAAGGATTAAAGATATCCCCTTCCCGGAATTTTCTCTAAAGTTGTTCACCATAGCTTTTTTCGCTATATGTCAATTATGAGCACTTTATCGCGTGAATTACCTATGTAAAATATATAAAATCGTGCACGTAAGAAGAAATTAATTTTTTAAAACATTTTACTGTCGTATGATGAGAAATTTATAATTGTAGCTCATGTAACAAATAATTTAAATAAAATATTTGATTTTGTCATTCCGTATATCATCCCGTTTTTTATCAAAATATATATGGTATAATATTAAAAGGCTCGCATTAAATTTTTATTAATTTTGTTCTTTTAGTTTAATAAACGTTCATATAACATGTTAAAATACATTTCTGTTCGATCACATTTTAAAACATTTCTTTATTTCTTAAAACATATCAAATGTTTGATAATTGGTGACTGAAAAAAATATTTTAAATTGTACAATTATTAAAAAATTGTTTCTTAAATAGCGAAAATAAATTTTATTTTTATGTGCTCCTTGTATCTTTCTAATTTCTAATTTTCTGAAAAAAAGACAATTTTTTAAAATTCAAGCTCATCAGTATTACAAAAATCAGATCTCATCCTGCGAATGGTATCACCAATTACCAAACACTGTGACGTCATCGGATCACAGCCTTTGTGGCGAGGCACTCTGAGCGAGTTATCTCTTTGCTCACCGCCACTCGGCGATGGTCCTGATTGGACTCGGTGGAAACTTACCAGTGTACTTGGCTACCCCTTTCAAGGCGACCTCTATGGCGTACGGCTCGCTGGAACCTTTCTCGTTTACCGCGTAAAGAGCGACCTTCGCCGACTTGAACAGTTGAAATTCCCAGTAAGGGCTCGGCGACTCCAGACGCCGTTTGCCCACCATAGCGACGAATTTCTGCGGCAGACCGCCATCGTATCCTTCGACGCAAGATATCCTCACCCAGGAGCCGTTCAGGTTGTAAGCGGTGCAGTTTTGCAATGGGTAAGGTCTGCCTGCAAATAAGATACGGCTTTGAAGATCGCGAGAGCGAAAAGGGAGTGCAGTTTCTGATTAGGGAAGTAGGTTGCAAAGTCACCTTCAAAGAAAACACGTGTTCATTTTTCAAGTAGAATTCTTCTCATCCTCTCTGTTTTATACATTTTATCCTTCACATATCCTAACTTTCATCTTTTGGATTTCTTAGATGCTTTACGAAGTATGATTGTGAAAAATAAGAAAAGAAAGATAATCGCTTCTGCAAAATGACATGCGGAAATAATCAACTGGATAAAATAAAACAATTAAATAGATGTATAAATCATATATCAAAAATAATTATAATATAAAAACTAGTTGAACAATTATTAAGTAACTTAATAATAGTGGCATGGATTTTTCAGAGTTTTAAATTTCAATTAAAAAATGTTTTTAAAAGAGAGTAGAGTAAATAAAAACATATTAATAAAAATTCATTTTTTGCAACAAATTTTTTCAAAAATAAAAATTTACTTTTTGCAACAAAATGATGATTTACATTTTGCGTAAACAAAGAAAAATATTCTTTATTTTAACTTTAAAAACATGTGCCGTTTTTAAATAAAATCAAAGCGAGACCAATTCAATTTGATGCAGAAAATATTGATAACGTTATTTTTCACAAAGAAATTAATAAAAACATTTATTTGACACAATATTTGATAACATGACTAGCAATTTAATAGAAATCACTTTCTCGTTATAAAAATTTAATATAGTCACCACAATTTACATATTCCACATATTTATTTGAAAGTAAGCGTTTTCATTACTTTACACATATTCTAACTAATTTTTTCAATTAATCCTGTTAATTAATATTACCCAATAATTTCTTAAATGTGTTTTACGTTGTTTTTCTATTTGTCATAAGCAATTTTTTTCAATTTAAATAAAAGCTTTGAAAATGGAATTAAAAATGAAAAAAGTGAGAAATTGCTGCGGTGCGGGCAGATCGTTTCGCGAATTTCGTTTTATTGCCCGGCAAAAATTATGCCGCGATGCCGGCCCGTTTTCAGAGCAATAAAATTATGTTTCAAGGGCGTCATTATCGGCTACGCCGGTAGTGCATTAGCTGAAAGCCCGTGCATAAACGCGACCAAAAAATTCCACTACCGGCTACTGTTGCATCCTTTCACACTGCCTTTTTTTCTTTCTGAGAATATTACAACCATATCTTGTCCGTTAAAAACCGGACTGGCTAAAAATGTCTCTATTAAAAAATTCTTTCCTCGCTAACATTAATAATGCGACATTAATAAGCGGCGTATTCGGTGCGGCGATAGATATAAATTGTTGCGAGTGCAATAAAAAAAATTGTGGGATGTCCTACCGACGTGTGTCCTAGGACAAAGATTCATTATTTTTTTTGTTCCAATCATTAAAAAGTTACCAAGGGCTCGATTGATCGTTTGTTCTGATATACGTATACGCTACTTTTATATTACTTCTAATAAATTAATATAATAATGAGCCAGATAGCTTAAGATTAAGCTACCAAAGTCATTGTAAAAATAGCGTAAACGTAAGTCAAATATTATAATATTTATAACATTTTATTTAGATATTTATAAATTTATTTAGCTCTATATATTATTTAAATAAAATTAATGCAGTGAAACCGCGTAATAATGGCAGCTGCCATTATTACGCGGTTTCTCTGTATTTATTTCCGCCGTGCATCGTGCAATTGCTTTTGCCATTCCTAATCTCCCGGAAAGTGCAAAACGGAAGAAAATGGCCCCGGAGCGGGGGCGAGAGGGGCTAATAGCACCGTCGTTGCTTACAGACGGCGGCTGCGGATTAAAGCGCCGGTTAAAGCGCTTGTTTTTCGTCATCTGCTTTATTATCCGTGCTCATATCGCGGGTGTAACTCGCGGCCACCGCTTCGTTCTCGAGAGAAAAACATGAAAATTTATAATTATCTTCCATTTTCCTCGGTTTCAAAATTATGTTTAATTTAGAGAAAAATTATAGGCTATTATAAAAAGAACAAAAAAAAAAAAAAAAAAAAAAAATCGATTTTTCACTTTCAATCGCATATTTTTCGATGACTTTGTGACCGTTTTCTAGCGAAAATTTTACACGATATTACTTGTTACTATTTTATTTTCTACATTACAAATTCCTATAGTTATATTTTGAACTAAATTTCTGTTTAAAGTCCTTTTATAAAGTACGATTGTGTTGTCTGCTTTTTTCTGAAACTTGTATAACAAGCAAAAACACTTTATATAACTAACTTAATTAGAAGCACTCAGCGACTCGCGCGCGACTTTATTAAAACATGTTGCCTAGAAAAATATTAAAGTTTCGTGTTTCAGGAGCCATTTAACGTGATATTACCTGTAATATTACATTTCATTCATTAAACATTTAATTCATATTCATTTCGGAGTATTCCAGAAGTATCAGCGTTATTTTCACCCACGAATTCTTTCCCATTTAAGGAATCCATCTTGAGAACAAAAGACAGAAAGTCTAGTGACAGTTCTGGAGCATTATACATTCACAATAGATTTATAACCGGTGCAGTCGAGAGCACTTGCAGCGAAACGAGGTCGACTTTATCACTTCGTCTTACACGGAGATTACACGTTACATCGCGAGTTTGGCATCATGTGCTCCTTGTTTACGGCCTCTTTAGAAACGGCTTACGACAGAACGTGCATCGCGGAATAATGGCACTGGCGTTTATCACTCGGTGTCATCGTTCCAATTAAATCTCGAGTACTCACGTCATTAAAAATCATGTTATTGTTCACATTTGACAAGAAATGCTCGCTGAAAATTCGACATTAATAAAAGAGATTTGTGGAGCAAAAGAAAATAATTTCAATGCGCCTCTTTTTATCTCTGCCGTTATTCACATTTAGGATTCACAATCGGCTTTTGAAATTCAACACATTCGATGTCATATTACGAGGTCAAAAAATTATTTATCCACATTTTATCGTTTTAAATCAACAATAAAAAGCATTTAAATATAACGAAAACGTCATCCGTGAATTTTTCGGATCAATACATCATTCAAATTGAAATTGGCGTTCTGGCATATGTTCTGTACGTGATTTAACAGCTGCATACATTGTTACGTATAGTATTTATGTAGAAATTTCCAGATTCACGAGACCATCAATATCAATACGAGAATTGTGATCATCGCGGAATGCCGCGCGCGCGTATTTTATGCTATCAGGCGCGTGCGAAAAAAACTGCTGTCCGGTAATTACATAAGGAATACATCGACCCGACGAGCGAAATAAATTATGTGTCCAATTACCGCGAGCGGGCGGGTCGCGCCACAGCGGGGAAAGTATAGTCTACCCTCGGACCACAATATCGTATCCGGTGGACCAAATCGATCCGGTTGTCCGCCGGCGACGCGGCGGTGTCGCTGTCCGCCGAAAACGCGGAAAACCACGGATACGGAACGGACAGGACTTTTCCGGCACGTCCGAAGATCCAAGTACCGGCACGGCAGCGGCAACGGCGGCGGCGGCGGCGGCGGCGGCGGCGGCGGCGGCGGCGGTGCGACAGGCGTTATACCTCGTAATGAACATATTCAATTACGGTTTTCATTAAATTCCCGCAAAAAAGCACGCAAGCGACGCGGGCGAGTTTCAACGTGGCGCCTCCCGTTGTGCAACGTCGCATTTCTCTCTTCCTCTTTTCGCTTTCTTTTTTTTCCTCCACGCTTCTTCTTAATTCCCGCGACCGTTCTTCGTCAGATTTCCACAGTTTTCGTGGCAAGTTATGATGCGAGTGGAGGCGCGTATGTTTAATGCTACAGTTTTTAGTCCGTTTGTTGGGAATTACGTATTTTCTTAACAATAAATTTTAATAACAATATAAGGAAACAATTGAAGAAAAATATGATGTTTGGTAACGTGTTCTCTACAAAGTTCAGATAGGTCAAAAAATTCGCGTTTCGGAATCATTGCGATGAACTTGGAACAAACAGCTTGCATATTTGCAAACTCGCGGTAGGCAATATTGAATTTTGCATATTCAATTTTGACGAACCGAAGAGATTGGTATTTACAAATATTATTTTTTCGTGATATGTAAGTTATTGCGTAAGTTATTACGGCGGTGTTTATAATATGGTTTCGCGGGTGTTATATTACTTAATTGTGAAATTAATTAAAAGACAGCTTTAATTATTGCGCCATACACTGCTAAATTATCCAAATGCAATAACAGTTGTGCTTCCCGCTAATTATGGATTAACATTTGTACACAATAATATGCGCAATGATTATAGGATGATACAACAATTGATAATGAATAGCAATTAGATGAAATATGTCCTTTGAATATAGGTAATATTGTCGCACTCTGGTTTGCTCGCTTGTTTTAAATAGTGAAATACATCAAATATGTGTATTTTAACATTAAGCAGCGTATGCGGAAAATGCGGAAAGCATAAATAAAAATACGCAATTTGTATTATTCAAATTTCACGGACGCAAATATTAAAAAATTATTATTCATTGTAAGTAGTATTTTTAAAACGTTAAATAGAAAAAGAGTTTATACAAACATGAAATAGTTTTTTATTCCGTTTTCTCGAAATTTTTCGATTTACAAAAATGTAACGAAAATAGCTGTGGAGTTTTAATGTTCCAAGATGAAAAGATCGTTTTAATAGAATTTATAGATATGTGTCTATATTAAGTCAGCGGACAATATTTTTACAATGTAAAGTGTACATGCGATAGTCGCCAGAAGGTATGCAAACCAATAAACAATTTTGAGCAGAAACTGTAGCTATTCCGTTGCAAGTTGAATATTTGTTGTGTACTAGCAACCGATAGTTTACGGATTCTGCAAATCTGCTTCGTTGTTTTTTTTTCTACACACGTCCTCCGTTTAATAGTATTTTGAATTGCATACAAACTGAGAATGATACGTTTTGGCATAAAAATTGAGTTTAGTGCAAAGTGAAAATAAATACGATTTATTATATCAAACTGCAAATATCAGCATATGACTGCTATAATCAAATTCTAACTAAAACATTTCAAGAATATCACGTGTTTTGTGATCCGCACAAACCAACTACTTTTTTTGCTTCAATGTATGTTGTTCTATGAAAAGCGTATACGGAAATATAAAAAATAAATGATTATTGTATTGTTCAAGTTTTTTGCAGATGCGAATAATAAAAAATTATTATTCACATAATTGCAAGTAGTAGTATTGTTAGAAGAGAAGAACTTTTTTGTCGGGATTGAAGATAAGAAAATGAAAGAGATAGCGAACTGAACTTGCACAAACCTGCGGCAATGACCTGGTAGAGGCAGGGCTGTTTGGAGTGGCCGACGGCGTTGCTAGCCCAGCAGCCCAGGACCCCGTAATCCATATCGGTCGACGGGGTGTAATTAAGCCTGCTGGTGGTGCCGTCGCTGGTGTACTTAGAGGACGGAACGTCGGTGAGGTCGCCGCTACTGTTGAAGGTCCAATGGAAGGTCACCGTGGTGGGGCTGGCCTCGACCTCGCAAACTAAACTTACAGTCTCGTGCTTCAGGGCGCCGTGCACCTCTTCGGGCACGTTGTACGGCGGTGGCGTGGCGTTCTGATGTCGCCAGTTACCGCCTGAGTTCAGCACGTGCTTGCAAACGGGCGCGACTGCGGCATAACGTACAGATTTTGGCACTTTACTACATGTATTCTAGGCAGGAATCCACTATAACGATGCAATCAAATGCGTGTAGTGAATTATAAAGTACGGAAAAAAAGTGTGAAATAAAATATACAATAGAACCATTTAAATGTCAAGCTTAAAATAAAAAATAATTAGCCGGAAAGAAAATAAATGCATGTAATGTCAGAAGACAAAATATAGTACGAAGTATTCTACAGTATAAACTGGTTCGCTTTTCCGCGAGCTCTCAAATTTTTATTTTATCTTATTTGGCTTTATAAAGGAAATGATTAAAGAAAGATTATTAATTAAAAACGATTGACAAATAAATTTTTCCTTGAAATCATGATAAAAATTGTTTTGATAGTAAATAGAAACAAGCGTGCATTGTACTGATAATGCGAATAGCTAAATAATCCCAGCTAAAACATTATAAATTCAAAGAGAGTTTAGTAAACTGGTTTTGTTTGCAGTACATTGAATTTGATATAATATTAGCTGAATAATGCTAGCCACGAATGTTTTGTTGGTCGAAATACGCACGAAGTAAGTTATATTATACGATGCAAGTTAACCCACGATTTAATACATGATTTAATTAATAATAATATCGTGCGTGAAATATGCGGCCGCGGAAACCGAGTTTACGCACCGGTTCACTAAACTAAACCGACTTATGTATCTCTATTACTGTTTCAGAACAAAAACGGCCGTAACTGTGTGCAAGTCCGTAAGATAAACGTGTGCGATGTATCCTACGTGAGTTTTCGTAGCCTTTTTCAAATTGATGCGAGCCAGGTAAGCCGGGTAAGAAGTTATGACGCTATAACATTTGCCGTCCCGAAGCTGCAAGTTGTATTTCTAACGGAGGTGCAAAATTTTCGAAAAATATCCCGGCGTCATCGTCGGATGCGCGCCGATGTAAAACATGCGTCGGACAAAAGAGCCAGATTTCCGCGATTCCTTTTGCATAAACGTTATATATTATACGCAGCTATGGAGGTGGTTCGCGAATAAAGGATCGATAACTGTCCGCGGGCCCCCGCCGACATAACCGGCTGTTTTATTTATACTTTCCGATACTGCAAAACCGTGAGCGCGGGGATTTACGCGTGGATACGCCGTAAAATATCAGCGACGTCGGCGGAGTAGTAGCGGACCGCTCATGGTCAGCCGTGAAATGTAAAACTGAAAAGGAAAATGTTAAATCGCGCCGAATGCCGCTGGCGGAGTTTCTTCAGCCGTAAATTTTGCTCGATTTTACTTCTTAGATTTTCCGAATTCAATGTTTTATATTTTTTGCGTTAATTGCACGCAGACTAGGTTTTTTTCAAAGATTTCAGAGAACTTTAACCGACTGCTGTACATCACGCAAGAAACCGGCGAGAACCACCGGCGTTCCAGCAGCACTCGTCGCGGAATTTCATCGTGAGCTAAAATGCCGCGCCACCGAGGCTATTAAGCGGCGCTTTCACGAGAGCCCCCCGGCTACCCCCCTTTTCTCCCGCCGTCGGGCAAGAGCGCGTAAAACATACTTACACATAACTTCGAGATTGACTACGTTGGACTTGGTGCGGCCCTCGACATTCGTGGCCATGCACGTGTACCCTCCGGCGGACTCTCGAGTTATGCTCTGCAGCACTAGCGAGTGGTCCGAAAGCACCACACCGGCGGTGGCGTTGTGACGCAGCTCCTCTTCCTGAACAGGGAAACGGTACCAAGTGTCTGAGCGTCAAAGAACTGTCATACCGTCCGCGCGAGGCATATCTCATTTCAGCGAAAACACTATAATGTTACCCTCATTTAAATATAATATTAACTAGTATTACACGATATTCCTGAACAATGTAATTATCCAAAAAAAAAAAAAAGAACTAATTTAGATTAATCTGGATCGACTTGAAGCGCGAGGCTGCATTCGAGGAATATTATCTCGCCTGAATTAATTGAACTCACAACAATAGTTCGCTCAGTTACTCTGGGAAATATTTTAACAATTCTCTATTAAATGTTAATGTGCCAGAGACGTTCGCAAGCTTGCAAGATAACAGATGAAACACCGACGATCGCTTTGCGTCGGACGCTTTCCACGCGCGTTACGCGTCTCTTTCTCTCTCTCTCTCTTTCTTTCTCTCCGCGTCAAAATTCCCGCAGGACCCGTCCCGCCGGCTCTCATTGTTGCCCGTCGCAAATAAACAAATTTGTCTTAGTCTTGGCATTCAGCTCCGCTTCCGCCTCGGCGAAGATCGTGCTGCTTGCTGCTGCTGCTGCTGCTGCTCGAGGAAACAACCGCGGCCCGCTGCGGGTTGTCGTCCGCTCGAGGAGGTCGGACAAAGGGAATTTACGATGTACACTTGTCCTCCCTCTATCTTCTCTCATTCCTATTTCCGTCTCTCACGTCTTTCTCTCTCTCTCTCTTGTTCTCGCTTGTGCATTTTCTCCTCTGCGGGATAATCCCGTCGCTTCTTTCTATGCTGCTATCGTTTCTCTTTCCACGCCTCCTTCCTCCATCCGTCTTTATCATCGCTTTCTTGCGATTCCGCGCTTTATTCTTCACTTTTTTGTCTGAATCCTGTCGTGTATAGTATAGTCGTAGCAGTCGCAAGCGTATTCTTGGCTGACAGTCACCATGAAAAATTTGAAGACAATCTCACCTTGGCGAGATTTTCTATTTTCTTTTTCATTTTAGACATTAATACACCATTAATAATAAAAATAAGTTTACTTCGAAATTTTATAACATTTCTCTTAAGATCAACCGAAAAAGACAATGCTACTATTCATTTGCAAAATTGGAAAAATTTAAATTTTACAGATTTTTAATTATTATAGTCGACATTTTAGTTCTCTTGCAGTGTTGTTCGTGTGATGTTTTCGGAATAGTACATGTAGGTCTTCCTAATAACTGTGCTCTTTGCCGCACATATAAATACGTGAACCTGCTGTTGTTCCGACAGCATTTGAGGATAGTAGCGCGATATCCGCTTTGCGCTGCTCTCCGTCGCGAATTTACATTGCGCGAGAGGAAAATTCCGTTCGAACGGAAACATCGGCGCGATTGCGATGCAAAATATTTGTACGCTTTAAATCACGAAGTCCAGATAACGGCATTTTTTCCCTCGCGGCATCAACGAAAACACGAAACAAAGTTTTCTGAAAATTTCGCGATGCAGTCTGATGTGGGTATTCGCTTATTCTGAATGGATTTTTACGAGAGTGCATACTCTTATATATTTTACTCGGAAATTTTCAAGTATTTTAATTCCACCGTGATAAACCTTACAAAAATTAATTTTAGTGATTTAAAAAAATCTGTAGAAAAAAAAAACACTCGAGAAAATACTTCAAACAATTTGGAAATAAGCGCAAAAATACATTAAGCTTAAAATCTTTGAAAAATAATATTAATCTTAAGTTTATCAGAAAATTTTTGTAAACACTTGTTCTTTTTGCATTTACTTCGTAAAAATAGTAAATTACTATTTTCTCAATTTTGAGCAATGATATGAAATTACTTCACATAAAGTGAAAATCAATTATCACATAAAGCAAGATTGACTGAGCGTTAATAGAACAGCAAAATGTAGAATATCGATTCATTTATCGAAATTAGTTCGAATCGGCAAAGGGTTAACGATGATGATGTTTGCAGAGCACTGTGTCTACGAGCTTCGAAACCGAGTGTGCAGAACGAACGAATAAAATCGAACGGAACTGAGCCGTGAACAATGTCGAGAGGGAGGCGGCGGATGCACGCCATGAAGGAAGAGGCTTGCGTGGGTACGCTCTCGCCGTGCTTGTTTTAGATGAGTAACGAGTCCCGTATCTATTCCTCCTCGGCATTCTCCGCGGAAACTGGTACGTGCCGTGGCGCCTGTAGCAGCGAGGCGTCGCTGCAGGATCGGGAAGCGATACGTCTTCGCGGGAGACAGTAGATATCGTCGTATATACGCGCGGGCAATGTGCATTTGTGCGATTTCCAGTATCTTAAACATTGAGCGCAAATAGAAAGCCGAGGGGAGTTTTCGAGCAGATTTCGTAAATTATTACGCGATGGCCAATCGTGAAAATTCATCGCAGCTCGATACAATGATATAATATTATATATTCAAAAATTACATGTTTAGGCGTTAATTGCACATGTAAATACAAATTATGTGTTATATTGCGTGCATTCCTTTTAAAGACTGTGCTTTTAATAATATTAGCATCTTTGATTTTATTTCTTGCACGCGGTTTATATTTTTCAACAGATAATCCGGGATAAATAACGCGTTGTCAACGAATGTGAACTATTTTCATCTCGAAAACTCTCGCGGCGCAAATGGAATTTCCTATTTCGACGGCCGCTTCCAGGACACGCCACGGCCGCTGTCCTGTGGGAGATTCGCGCACGGAGAGAATTCCGTCTCCTTCCCTCTTTGTCCTCCCCCGCGTTGCAGTGACGCTTCCGCGTGAATTCTCGCGTAACACGACGCTGTCGTATTAGACGTTAAATATACGTATTCGTGTCGAGGTCTGGGCGATACGAGCGCGTGCCCCGTTTCGGAACGAGCGCGGAATATATCCGCGTCAGCGTGTATAATATACACGAAGGCCCCCGGACGCGCGCGCGAGACAGGAGCGATAAGTTCCATCCCCCTCGCTTTCGTGCGGCGCTCCCTTACAAACGTGCATCTTATACCGTGCACATCTCGTCGCGAAGTTGCGCCCATCCGCTCGGATCATGCATAAGTAACGGATAAATCCTTTTTTAACTTTCGACTCACGCCCAAGCTCCCTTTTTCGTGGCTTTTGCGCCACGGGAAAAAGAGGAGAGAAAAAAGACATCCTGTGTCGATATGTGAATCTTTTCCTAACGAAGACTTCTGAGATTGAAATGTCGAGCAGATACTTCGATTTAAATTTTATGACTGCTCAGAGATAGAAAATCACAAGTAATAATTTGATAAAACAATTTTAAAAAAGTAAAGCATGTGACGGCCTTTAGAACAATGCAAGTGATAGTCAGAGTCGGATATAAAATATTAATCATATTAGAACGTTTATATTGAAATATACTCTCTAAAAGTAAATCAGTGAAAATGTCACTAATGGAAACAGTAAAATAGGATTTCACTAAGATTCAGTGAGTATTTCACTGATATTCAGTAGAAACACTTACTTTTTGTTTCTTTATTTTAAAACTCACTGATTATGGTCAGTGAAAATAAAATTTCACTGTAAAATCAGTACTTTATCTATCGGTAATGCTGATTTTTGTATCTGCTACGATACCATACAGTGTCGCGCATGTGCATAACAAAAGACGAGCTAACACAAGTATACGCATGC